CACCTTGTGCTATTTTAACCTGCAGTAAAATAGTGGAAGGCTGTAGTTCACAACCCCTGTATGCCAGCGATGTGGCTGGTAATTCTTCTACCGTCCCCCTTGCTATCCTCCAATGTCATATACTAATTTTACTTTTATTGTGTGTATTTTGAGCATCACTGCTGAACACATCAAACAGTTACCCAATTTAAGGAAATTTGCCAGCAGTTCATTTAATTCCCTCAGTTGTATTAAAGAGTTTGTTTATTAAACTGTGAATTGCATGTTAGGAAACAATTTCTGAGCTGGAAAAGAAAACCAATAACTTATCTGAATACTTTAACCTACTTTTTCTGAATCCTTTGTATAGAGTACACATTAACATCAAATCTGATACTTTAAAGTTAGCAGCATTATACGCTATTTATAATCGTCTTTGATAGATTTTGGCGATATAATCCATTGATCAGATGAGAAGCTGCCGGTTAATCCTGTTTTATTTCTAAATATTAACATCTCAATATGGGGAGGTTTTTTCAGGCCACAAAACTGTATTTGCACAGACTCGGCTTAATGTTCTGTAATCTCTTATGTCCAAACAGTCTGAGTCAGCTACTATTACTCGTCCCAATGTCAGGTGTTTTATAGGAAGTCCCCAGGACAGCTAGTTTCTTTTCGACTGTTCAATCAACTTGCAAATAACATTCCTCCAATTTGAACATTTTCTGCAAGCCCTTTACAATTTAAACATTTAGACTTTTCATGTGTTTGACTAGTGATATCATTGTACTTTCTATAGAAACCAAACAGACTATATTAACACAAAAAATCAACAACCTAAAATATTCTAAATTTTTAAAAAATTATTACATTAAAAAAGTAATTAAAGGGACACTGTATAAACTAGAACAACGTTAGCTAAATTAAGCAGTTTCAGTGTATAGTTCATGCCCCCGCAGCCTCCCTGCTAAATTATCTGCCTTTTAGGAGTTAAATTACTTTTTTTTTCTGTCCATGCAGTCCTAGTTACACTTTCTTGGATTTTACTCACATAGCTTGCATGAAACAAATAGTTTTATTTTTAGATGTTAACTTGCTTTATAAGTTTTTATCTCCTGCTTTGTAAATTGAACTTTAATCCCACACAGTATAAGATTCAGAAGTTGATTAACAGAGCAGGAGATACAACATTCCAAAATTATATCTCTTATTAAACGAAGTGTTTAGGAAGGATATGCAAGTTACATGCAGGGAGGTGTGACTAGGGCTGCATAAACAAATAAAATTAACCACAATATTAAAAAAAAAAAAAAAAAAAAAAAAAAAAAAAAAAGTGAAACTGCAGAGGCATGATCTATATACCAAAACTTATCATTAAGCTAAAGTTGTTTTGGTGCCCATAGTGTCCCTATAAATTGAAACTATGAGGTGATAATCACCACATTTTAATGCAGCGATATAGATAATAATGAAAAAATAAAAAGACATCACCAAAAATTCCCAGCCTGGTCACTGTGCAGTGGGAAACATAAATCCAAAGCCAAAATGCATAGACTGGAAATTTGTAATACTGTTAAAGGGGTTACTCCAGGCATACAGACTACTTTAGTTATTTGAAGTAGTCATGGTGCCTGGAATCTGTATGTGTGCATGTGTAGCCTTTTGCTTTGCAACACTGCACATAGTGTTTCCCTCCTTTACTGTAGGAGGTTTAACTACACACCTGGCAGCACCATTGGAGTGTCATCAGCCAGCACGGAAGTAAAGTTTGTGGCTGGACAAGGTCAATTCTGTGCAATTTTCATTGCACAGAATGTTAGTCATTGGCTAAGAGAGGTCAGCTGACACTCTCAGCCAATGAATGGTGATGGCCACGGCTTCTGAAGTGTGTCACTAGTCCAAGCAGGGAGCCTCAGAGTTCGGTGGGGAACCAGGTAAGGGGGCCAAGCGATACTAAATGGTTAGAGAGAATATACCCACAAACCTGGGTATATGGTGTGTAGCATTAACAATTTCAGTGTGCTATACTTCACCAAATACATTGCAGCAAATCATTGAGTGAAGGTACTACTCAACAGATCTCTTACACGATGTCCCACTTTCTCAAAGACTTGGGGTCCTTGTCACAGCTTTACAATCTGAATGTTTCAGCATACCAGCCCAGCCTCTTGTGGACCTCAAATGTTACAAGTTGTTTGGGACATACTCACTTTATATGTAATTTATTTAATGTGGCATTAAACTGCAGTTTCTAACGAAAATGATATGAAACCTTTGATATATTTGCAGCCATCAATTAGCACGTTGTCAGTCTATCAGAAAAAGACAACTAAAAATCAAAACCAGTTATAAAATTAAATACCAATTAAACACGTATACATTACAGACAATTAGGCATGGATAGTTGGGTATATCTGCAAATCAATAATCATTTCAGATAGGTCATGTGCTATGCAATTTGTGTTTACTCAGATATTCTTTATGTATATAAGTCTTAGCACTTTTGGATGCAATTAAGCAAATATTATAACTGTATACTAATTTTAGACTTCTGTTACCCTAGTAACCTGCTATTTTGTAGTCTTTATGCTGAGATGATTAATTATCACTGATTGCTTTTGATTTGTGTGATCACAATTAAAATTATATTAGAACAGCTTTCCTTCCTGGCAAAATTGATTTCTTCACAGCTACCATTAGTCCTGTTTTGGGGTGTATTTATTATTATTATTTTATTATTTATATAGCGCCAGCAAATTCCGTAGCGCTGTACAATGGGTGGACTAAAGGACACGTAATTGTAACCAGACAAATGAACGCACAGGAGCAGAGGGGTTGAGGGCCCTGCTCAATGAGCTTACATGCTAGAGGGAGTGGGTTATAGTGACACAAAGGGTATAAGTAGGGGTAATGAAATAGGTTGCTAGAAAAGTAATCACTGAGAACTTAGTAGGTAATTTTTGACAGTTGGAGGAGAGGAGTCATGGGGGAGGGGGATGAAAACCTGCTAACAGTTTAAATTATATGTTTTCCTCAAGAAGTGAGTTTTCAAAGATTTTTTGAAGGAGTGGAGACTGAGTGAAAGTCTAACGGAGAAGGGAAATGAGTTCCACCGAAAAGGTGCAGCCCTGGAGAAGTCTTGGAGGCGAGCATCAGATGTGGGAGTACGGACAGAGGATAGGCATTATGTATTTGCTACATTATGGTGCCTAGTGCACACCTGTGGCTTGAACACTGCTTACTGTTTTCATCGCATGAAGTATATTTCCCCTATAATCCTTGAATGGCAGTACTTTTACCTGTGTGTCCTAGAATATCATTCATACAAGTGTGAGTTGGGAATTCACAATGACTTTCAAATTTGGGGCATTAGAAGCCAAACAGGAAACATAGCTTTCTTGGAGATCTGCTATTTTTCCCATTCAGATTTTAATTTGCTACAATTTGGAGTTTAGCAAATAAACCCTTCTAGTTTCAGTGATCATCAACATGATTGGAAAAATTCCATCTTTATTGCTATCACAGTTAAATCACATGTTTTATTAGCATGCTAATGGCTGCAAGTAAATTGCAAATTTAATTAAAGGAACACTCCAAGCAGCCAGGAGTAAGCCAAGTATGTTATCCCGACATAAGAAGACAAGCTGTTTTATTGTGGTTTGACAACTTACAAAGTTCCATTATGCACCCTTTCTGTATTCCGTCTTCTCCTGGAGGTCGCTATGTCTCTATAGAATAAAGCATAACTGATCCAGGATCACGCTCATTAACTTAAAGAGCTTGGTGGTCGACACTCTCACCCAGTTAACAGTGATACAAACAATACTTTAATGCAATGGATCAGTGTCTCATATAGGGTATCTTCTAAATGCTGATCTGCATGCATTAAAAAAAAAAAAAACAGACCATAGCGTAAGTTTTTTACAATATGACATTAGAACATAATAAATAGAAGAGCACACTCACAAACAACAGAATAGGCTCTCAGTAGTCATGTCTGCTGGTGATAAAAGCCCTCTACCGCCTATACATGATTTTCTCACAGTGAAGACATATCCTCCAGATAAGTTGGATGGAGTATAAAGAGGACAGAGGTACACAGTAGTGTAGACTGCATAATATAGGCTTGTATATGAAGAAATAGTTCAACTCATATGAATCTGAGCCAGATAGGTCGCTCAGCCTTAGGTCGCTTTAAGTTAGTAAATCCAAGGTACACCTAAATGTCCCCTGCCCTGCTTTAGACAGAAATGTCCTGTGTTTGCTGAGGGAGACCCTCAGTCTACACCCCTTAGGCCTGCCCATTCATATAAGGTGCCGGATGTGGCCAGTTCCTAGCTCTTCATCAGATAATCTAGATGAGCCCTCTTCCTCGTTTGACTAGTGGGGGGTTATCCTGGCCCTTACAAATATGGTTATCTACAGTTATCTACTGTTCCCTTAATTTTGGGCAACACCAGAGAAAACAGGATAAGATAATTGGGCAGCTATACCACCTGCAAGAATTAGGGGCCTCATAGACAACTATTACAAAAGACTGCACACTGTCATTGATGCTAAAGTGGGCAATACACAGTATTAAGAACTAAGGGTATGCAGACTTTGGAACAGGGGTCATTTCATTGTTTTTCTTTGTTGCCATGTTTTGTTTTATTATTATGCCATTCTGTTATAACCTACAGTTGAATATGAATCCCAGAAGAAATAAAAGAAATGTGTTTTGCCTGCTAACTCATCTTTTCTTTAAAAATCGTACATGTATTACCAATTCTCCAAGGGTATGCAAACTTGAGCACAACTGTATGCTGATGGCACCTGATGTCTCTTAAGTGCACACCAGGAGGCAGCAGGATTGAGTTCCTGCTTCCCCAACCACTAGCAACCAGGGACCAGTCTTCATTCCCCTGCCCACCCCCATTACCCATAAAGGTAAATGGGGGAATTTGGTGACTATGTTCCTGTTTCTATATTGTATTACACAGTCACAGATACATGCAGTCATACAAAAACAGTTACAGGTAGGTACACAATCATAGACACACAGTGACACACATATTGTCTGTGACTATGTGTGTCACTGTGTGTCTATGATTGTGTACCTACCTGTAACTGTTTTTGTATGACTGCATGTATCTGTGACTGTGTGTGTGTGCCTGTGATATGTGTGTGTGCATGTGTGACTATGTACACATGGCTGTATGTGGCAGTGTATGTGTGTATCTGTGACTGTGTGTGTGTGCCTGTGATATGTGTGTGTGCATGTGTGACTATGTACACATGGCTGTATGTGGCAGTGTATGTGTGTGACTGCGTGCATGTAACTGCTTCTGACTGTTTAACTGTGTGTATATGACTGTGTGTGTCTCTCTGTTTGTGAGTTACTGCGTGTGAGAGAGATACTGTATGCCTGTGTGTATGTGCCAGTATATGTGGGTGACTTTGCATCTGTGTAACTGTGTGTAGGTTACGGTGTGCTTCTGTGCGGCTGTCATAGGCGTGCGCACGGGGTGTGCAGGGTGTGCCTGGGCACACCCTAATCCCCGCGGCAAGCGCTATGTGCTTCCCTCCATGGGCCGGTGAGGGAGATCAAAGATTTCCCTCACCATCCCACAGGCGGGGAGGGAGGCAGAAGAGGACCCGGGGAGCTCTTGTCAGCAGCTCCGCCGGGTTCCTCTCGCATGGTAAGATCTTGCGATAGTGAACTCTAGCCCCGCAGGCTAGAGTTCACTCTCCACTGGACCACTAGGAAAGGCAGGAGCACGGTCCCCCCTCCCTACATAAGGTAAGAAGGGAGGGGGGATATTAACTAAACGGCCCCCACATCCCCACACATTACACACAAACATACAGCACACACACATACATCACCCTTACACACACAGCACACACACACACACACTAACAGCACCTTCACACTAACAACACCCTTACACACACAGCACCCTCACACATACACACACAGCACACACTAACAGCACCCTTACACACAGCACCCTCACACACAGAGTACACACTAACAACACCCTTACACACACACACTAACAGCACCCTCACACTAACAACAACCTTACACACACAGCACACACTAACAGCACCCTTTCACACAGCACCCTCACACACTCTAACAGCACCCTTACACACACAGCACCCTTACACATACACACACTAACAGCACCCTCACACACACAGCACACACTAACAGCACCCTTACACACACAACACCCTCACACACACACTAACAGCACCCTTACACATACACACACACACAGCACACACTAACAGCACCCATACACACACAGCACCCTTACACACACAACACCCTCACACACACACTAACAGCACCCTTACACATACACACACACACAGCACACACTAACAGCACCCTTACACACACAGCACCTTCACACACACACACAGCGCCTTCACACACAGCACCCTCACAGCAGTGTGTGTGTATGTATGTTCATGTATATATATATATATATATATATATATATATACGCGGCATGTGTGTTTCTGCTTTAGGGTGCACACCCTTATACAATAGGCTGCGCACGCCTATGGCGGCTGTATGTTACTGTGTGTCTGTGTGACTGTGACTGTATAAACCCAATAGAGATGGGTCACACTCAACCACAAGTCACAGATAGTGCACTCATACTGGAGGTGGTGCGACTTACCAATTATTGTTCTTTATACTTACCATTGGGGAATTATGAATCAATTGGATATATTTATTATTTTCTTAATATATTTAGATGTAGTTTGGCAATATACCATTCATGTTGACTCTTTAGTATTACTTGGATTTCCGGTTATTACTCATCTTTGTTTTGTTCTAATGATTACCTGGTTATTGCTGTTTAATTATGATGCTAAAAACTTGCTAACTTAGTAGACTTAGTAGCCCCGTATTGTGATTAATAAATTGCGATTCCTCTACTTTTAGGAGATAAGGGAAATAGCATAGGTTTTACCATTCACATTGGAGGTGTTTTTTTCTCTAAAACTCTCATATTTTAATATTTGGCATCATTTACTCCAAGTAATTTTCAGGATATGTAGATGACGTATATTTTTATGAATTGTTTGACTACTTGGGATGCTCTGATTAACTGTGCACATTTTGATTGATCTATTCTACACATTATGAGTTTTTGATTTCCCTTGTTTTCTTCAGAGTCCATTGCCATGGAGATGCGTCTCTTGATGCTCACGTTTGACTTGAGCCTATGCTTGAGTCATAAGATCTGAGGTATGGTGTCACTTCCATGTCTCCCTGACGCATCGCTCCAGATGATCCAAGGCAGCTGTAAGTTATAATTATTGAAGTTATTTCTATTAATTAATATGATTGAAGTTTTTGCTATCTGTGTAAAGACAGAGTGTATTAGACTTGGCAAAAGTCTTATGGCGAGACTGAAATTCCTTGATTCAATAAAACTTCTCATAGAAGTCGTGCCCATACTGTATTGAATTTTTGTATGTGAATTTATGTGACATAGTTTAAGTTTGTGACACGTCCATCTGTGTGGGGCAATTTATACTCAGCTGTTATAAAATAAAATAGAGAAAAAGGATAGTGAGAATAGCTAGTTTTAGAATGAAGATTAAATAAACTAAATGCCATATCTGTAATGTTAAAGGGAATCGATAGTACCAAAAATAACAATAGTTTTTTCTGTGTCATCATCAGTGTAAACCTGGATCACAGACAAACACATGGTGAAAGAGGAGGAGTCAGGATAAATTATCTATCTAGAGTTTGGGGATTTTTGAAAAAAAAAATTTACATTGCCTTTTACATTGAGATGTTTTCTGAATTTATCTTCATACGATTTCTTTCTCTACAGAAAAAATAAACACCTATTAAGGAAAGCAGGATTAGGGCAATTCAGCATCAATGGTAAATAATCAATACATCCCGAAGCTGCATCAGTAGATAACATAAACTCCTTATAGAATTCTAAGGTAAAGCAAAGTTATCTCAAACCACAGAAAGGAAAATACGCTTACTTCCTCCTTTAAGCCCATAGAATTAAATAAATTGAGCTGGAATATCCTCCATATATCATCCTAAAAATCATCTTCATGTATGCACTCAACTGATTTGTGCATTTATTTATAAGCTATCGACTCTATGATCATCAGTGTTGAAATGTTATCAGTGAAACCATTTGTATTACCAGTTTACAAACATTTTTGGTAAATGGAAGGCTAAATAGTATAAATTTTTCTCTGCAAGAAAATGTTAAATATTCATGCATTGTACTAATCATTTATATATGTGGCTGTAATAGGGAGATGCTAACAAATAAAGTGTTGTTAACAAACAATTAACGACGGAGTGCCAATTCGAGACAACTAGACAATTTCAAGCTAGTTTGGTTGTAATCCAAAGATGCAGGTATAGCCCTCCAGATATAAAATTAAAGGATTAAGTCACACTTCCTCTATCCCCGACCCTCAAATGAAACAGGGGGCCACCCCTGGAGGATTTTCAAGGAGAACCAGCTAGTGCATTGAAATGGATTTTAAATGAGCGTTTTACCGTCAATGTCCAAGGTCTTTATGTAGTGCACCCAGTTCTGAATGAATTCTTTAACCTTGGTTTTTCTGTGTTGAGAAGTTTCTATCCAGTTCATTCTAAACACATGGGACAGTTTAGGCTGGCATAGTGCCAGGGTTGGCTTGTCAGAACAGTTTTCTAGTCGTTGCAAGTACCATCTGAATGAACAATGGCACAGAGACTTCACAGACTAAAGTTATTTAAAATTCAAACTGGAAGAACAAACACAGAAATATTTAAGAAAATAATCCATCCACTCATTCCGCATTGTATTTGAATTTGTTGAAAAACAATATTGAAGATCTATCATGAGGACAGTGCCAGTGGACTCCACCTTCAATGAGAGGAAACGACTACAGTGTCTACAAGGTCCCTTTAAATAGAGGATATTGAAAAACAGAGACTGAATAACACAATTTGTTAACAGTAACCTTTATCATCTAGGGCTAAAAGATCACCCACCCACCGGGGTTTCCCCCATAAAAAAGGGAATAAATAAAATGAGTAATAAACAAGTGAAGTAAACAAAAAATATGTGAAAGAATAAAATGATCAAGATTACATGGATCTAAAAAATAATTAAAATATAAACATCCAAGCCACGAGTCAAATAAAAAAAGATAAGATGTATCAAAAGCAGGTAAACTTCATGAGCGTTCAAAATGAGAGGACAATCGATAATTCAAAGATGTTAGAATTGAAGGCAAAGTTCTAAACATACACCACAAAATGCAATACAGAGAGCAAGAGAGAGAGGGAGAGGCAGACAGACAGATAGATAGACAGACAGACAGACAAGCAGACACTGTTTAAGAAATGAAATATAGTTGGTCTTCGGAAACAAGTGTAGGTAATGAAATATGTAATATTTGTGAGTGTATTATTTGATTATAACAACAGGTGCCTATGTTGAGAATGCCTTATCTCCAACTAATCAGTTGCCACATTGACTTGTCTCTGAGATGTACAAATTATACATATTATGCTGAATTAAAGAAAATAATGAGATTAATTTTGCATTCTCCATTGTGAATAGATGTATAATTGTGCTTCCACGCCTATAGATCTTGCTAATACATTTTATGCATGAATTAAGTGTGGAAATAGTAAAATTAGAGCCATAAATGGTTGCCCTGCTGAGATGTTAGGATTAGAAAATGAAGATGAATGTATTATTCAACATATTTGGCACCATCATACCAGGCAAATCGATGTCCAAATCCAGTCCTTGAGTCTTCGGAGACTAAAATAATCTGATGTCAAATTCTCCTTTTATTCTAATAGGATAATGATCATGGGCATTTCCTTTCTAAAAATAATTAGTCACAAAATATAATACCTGTAAACAGAACTTGCTGGTTCAGTCTGAGGCAGTTAAGGCCAAAGTGACTGCAAGGAAACTTAAAGGTTTCTTCAGTGAGTGTGTGAGTTTATTTTAGGAGTTTGTTGTAAATGAATTTAATGAAAGCATATTCACGCCTGAATACATTGATTATAATGATAACAAATTGCACAGACTGGGAAGATCTGATGT